AAAAAATCTAATTTTCAATAAAAGAAAGCGAAAAGGAAGATGATACATGTAGCTGTAGTTTGTCAGGGGGAGGGTATTCATCTTGCTTGTTCTTTGAGCTGCTAGAATCTTTGGTTTGGGGACACTCATTGTCTGAGGATCATCCCTGCTCCTTTCTCTCTTTTCTGTCCTTCTTCCATTCCTATCACACATATTTAAAGCTGTCTTAATTATCCCACAGCTCTTGGGTAGTTTGCTCTTTTTCTTTCAGCCTCCTATTCTCTGTTTCTCAGAGTTTCCAAGTTTCTATGTCATAGCCTGGAGTGCAGGTTTCCTTCCTCAGCAAGTGCAGGGTTTTAAAGAGCCTCAGCATGCTTCCATTCTGTTGATATCTGGGCCTCGCATTTGCCCTTTTGTCTTCTTCCTTAGAACACCCATATCTTTGCTTTCTGTTAAAGCCTTCAGGATGTCAATAATCATTTCAAAGTTCACTGGTAATTCCAACCTTCCTGTCACACAACTGGTCCTGTCCTATGACTGGTTCTGAAGCCGGTTCAGTTTCTTCAGTCAGCACCTTTTGCCCTTAAGCATGGGGCAGTGTTTTTGCTGCAGCTCGATGAGAGACGCTTGGTTAAAGGAACTCGGTAAAATGTTATGAGGTCAGGTGGCAAGGAGGAGTGAGCGCCACACCCTCTGCGCCTGATGTTAATGTTTTTGGTTTGTGGTATTCAACTGTGAGGGCTTTCTCCCCTTAGGAAGACAAAATAGCTGGAGAAGGCTGGCACTGGGCACCACCCTGCCCCCCAAAACAGTCTCTTTTGCATCATCAAGGCAGAATGTTCTTGCCTCTCCCTCAGCTGGAAGCATGAAGAGATTTTTTTTTTTCCAGCACTCACTGTGAGAATATGACATTACAGAGCTCAGAGATCTTGGGGAGCCCACTGTGACTGGCTTCCCCTGGAGAGCAGGGGGAATCCTCACCCAGCCTTCAGCAATTCCACAGGTGCATTCTGAGTCCCAGAATGGGTCCCATTCTGTCCCAGCCCTGGGCCCCTCAGGAGAACTCTGCTTGTGAGTTTCTGCCCCAGGAGGTGGAAGTTCTGTCTTGTCTGTCAGTGTAGACAGTGCTTCTCAACCCTCCTAAGGCTGTGGCTCTTTAATACAGCTCCTCATGTCGTGGAGACCCCCAACCATAAAATCATTTTTTTTTTTAAACCAGAGCATTTATTTTATGACTGATTGAAATCCTCAAGATGAACTGATGCTGCAACAGCTGCCCTCTTGGGTTTAGGTGTCGTTCCTTCACGGAATCCATGCCTGAATCTGCGATAGACAATTTTTAGGTGCCTCATTCGACCTGTCCCGGTAGTGTTTCGCCTCTTAGCCTTGGCACTCCAGTTATACTTTCTCTTGCGCTTGGCAGGGTAGCCACATTTGCCACAAGTCGACTTCTGAAGGTGGTAGGCCTTAGAGCCACAGCGGCGGCACAACATGTGCGTCTTATTGCGACGCTTCCCAAAGGATGACGTTCCCTTCGTCATCTTGCTTCTGCCGCCGAGGCCAGAGAGACCCATAAAATCATTTTCATTGCCACCTCATAGCTATAAGTTTGTGCTATGAATTGTAATGGAAATGTCTGTGTTTTCTGATGGTCATCCATGGGTTAGAGAGTAGGGCTTTGCCCTCTGATCACATTTTTCTGATGGCTCTAAGAATTATTAGGTGTGTCCAGCTTTTTATCTGTTATTATGATGGCATAGCCACTTCTAAACTTCTCACATGCTGGACTGGGAACTGGCAGTCTTCGGAAAGTACAGGTATTTAAACCATGTAGCCAACAAAGAGAATATAAATGGTCTTTTTTTTTTTTTTAATCTTTCCCTTTTCTTTTTTGATTCAGGCAGTTTAAAGAAATGTTTTTAAAGCACTTAAAGCTGGGTTATAAGTGTAAGAGAACATTAGTGAGTAAGTCAGACTTTCGTTTGGAGTCTTATGATTTTTCCAGAGTGTTCGCATCAGTGGCTCGCCTAACACACGCACACACACACACACACACACACACACACACACACACACACACACAC